CGGACTTCCTGTAGTCAGCCGCTGGTCAGTTTCAGCAGCGGCTGAATCTGGACGCCAGTTCCGACTTACATACAGATTCAACTTAAGAACAAACCTACAGTCCCTATCTTGTACGTAACCCGGGGATTGCCTGTAATGGGCTTTCTCTTAAGATGCAGAATAGCTATTTCGGGAAACCAGAGGTATCCCAAAATAGCTCTGCAGCTTCCTGTAGTCAGCCGCTGGTCAGTTTCAGCAGCGGCTGAATCTGGACGCCAGTTCCGACTTACATACAGATTCAACTTAAGAACAAACCTACAGTCCCTATCTTGTACGTAACCCGGGGATTGCCTGTAATGGGCTTTCTCTTAAGATGCAGAATAGCTATTTCGGGAAACCAGAGGTATCCCAAAATAGCTCTGCAGTGTAGACATAGCCTAAGTTAAAAACATGAAGATAAAACTTCTGAGTACAGATTTTTAAATCCCTCAAATTTTATATTTGCAACATATTATAATATTTGACTTCCCATGTAGATGTTGTCTTCATTAAACCACTGAAAGCAAAATCTGTAATTCTTATCTACTGAGCATTGTACAAAATAAATGCAGAACAGAGAACAAAATGTGATTCAGAGGGAATCAAAATCAACTGTCATACTGAAGTTATTTCTAGCTTGTTTTTCGCAGATCTTGGGGATGGTCTCTACTCATTCAAAACTTCATGATACCAGTGGGAGTTTAGCTTGAGTAAGGACTGCAGAATCAGGCATTTACTCATGAATACTTACAAGCTCTAAAAGAAATGCTAATTTACCACAGTACCTTCCCTAGGAGAGAAAACCCTTTAGACATAGTGAAGAAGTTGTAAGGGACATGCTCACATGATTGTACTGAGACACCCTGAATTCTAGAATTGTATACTTTAGCCAATACAGTGTATTAGTACTATTCATCTACAATTCTGATCCATTTGTTCAATGAATCAATACATATACAAAACATTCTCCCCCCTGAGGGATCATTAGAATTCTGGCAATTAAGTGTACCTATTCTTTCCAGGTTACATACTAACCCTAACATGGAATAACCACACCAAGGTGCACATATATAATTTAACTGTGAACATCTGCAGACTGATAGCATACTTCTCTAGATACACAGTCCGATACCTTTCAGTAGAGTCAAAGCCATTCTTTCAATCCCATGTCAGGAAGCTTGGCCTTTTATTAGGTGTTCTGATATCATCTCAGTAAAGACCAAATCCAGGGAAAAAAGGACCCTACTGAATCAGCGTTATCACATAGAATGTAGCTTGTGTCCATGTGGAACGTGAGGCATCACTAATGCAGCCAGCTCTTTGGTGTTCAGTTGTCATCAGGCATGTTGCTGTTAGGGGAAAGAGACCTGAATGGCAAGCCTTACTGAGCTGTGCCGACCATGAGGGAACTGGGTGGTTTGTGTCTGAGCTCAGTTGCAGACCAGGTTGCAACTGATTTACAATTCACTCATGCCCGTGCTTCAACTTGTGGGCCCTGAAGTGGAGAGACATAGTAAGAAATCAGAAGTAGTAGAAGCGGAAAAATAAAAATCATTGCAGTGCAAGTACATTAGATCACACCATTAAATGCACAATGGAGAAGTTAAGTCAAGAAGCTCTGATATTGTTGAGACAGCACTCTCAAAAGTACACAGTGGCTTTCATTGGAGACACTGCCTGGCTGTTAAGAAGGGTGCTGGCAGAGTGCCAGAGGGACATCAACTCATCTCTCCAGTGCAAAGCAAAATGGCAAAGACACAGGAGAAACTGTAAATTGTCAGATGGAAAATCTGAGGCACTCCTCAAGCAAAGACTTAGAAGTAAAAGATGAAATGCTTGCAAACTAGAATCTGAATTTATACAAGACTCAAAAATATGCCATAACCCTTTTACCTTTTGATTTAATCTGCTTCTGTATTCTGTTCAGACACTAGTTTTGCATAACTCAGAGGTAGATTTAATCCCACAACTGGGCCTACAATACTCAGCCATGATGTAATGTAGTTTATATTCCTAAAAAAACCAAAGAAAGCATGCATGTATTAAAAAAATCTCTACTGATGTTCAGATCTATGCCTGAAAGTAACCTTCCACCCAGTAGGGTTGCCAGGTGTCCAGTTTTGAACCGGACAGTCCAGTATTTGAGCTTTCTGTCCGGGAAACAAATTGAGAAAATACTGGACATATAAATGTCTGATATTTTCTAATTAAGTGTTTATTATTATCATGAGTATCACTACGTAGTTGTGTACTGCCTGGCAGGTAAACACGCTCACAGTGCGTGAGCCTGTCTACCAGCCAGGCAGCACGCAACTACACAGTAGAGAGGAGGAGGGTGGGGGCAGGGCCAGAGCAGGATGGAATCCCCGGGGCCAGACTCACCCATGCGCCCCGCCGGGGCTGTGCGCAGGACAGCAGCACCTCGGGATCTGTGTGCGCCCGGCTCCCTCTCCGCCAGCCCCGCTTCCTGCCGGCCAGTCCCCCCCACCCCCCGATCTCCTCCGGCCAACTCCCCCTCCCCCATTTGAGATCAAGTGTGTCTGGTATGTTTTTTAAACCATCTGATAACCATACCCTCTCGTATCTCCTCCATCCAACCCTGCTCTCCACGACCCCCTCTTGTCCAGCCCCACTTCCCACCAGCTGGTTCCCCCTTCCGTCCCCCCGATCTTCTCCGGCCAGCCCCACTCTTCCTTCCCGACCAGCCTCCCATCTGAGATCAAGTGTGTCCAGTATTTTTTTTAAACCATCTGGTAACCCTAGAACCCAGACAACTTTCTTTAAAATAAAGATACTCATGCATTTTAAACACTCAATTTTAACTTACAGGATTTAAATGAAAACACAGTTTTACTACACACAGATGAAGATGACAATTCTTGACTACTATTCTGATCTTGCAAATGTACACAACTATTTTACATACACTAAACATCTTACTATAGCCTCACAAACTGCACTGGTGTTCCTCACCTGTTTTCTCTTAGTGAATTATCCAATACAGGAGCCATGAATTCATTAGTTCGGCAGGGATGAAGGACAAAGAATGGTTGACCAAGTAATGGGTGCTCCTGAAAGAATCCATCCGTTGGTTTTATTATCAAAATTGTTTTAGGAAAAGATACAAGATGCCATTTAAAAAAGAATAAATGAGGGTCCAATTCCTCCATCGTTTTTCAGCAGCTCACTTCAAGATAATTTGACCCCCATTGTTTTAGTAACAAATATACAAAAGCAATACAGGCCCCGACTCACTCAAACTTGTGCTCTGATGCAAAATTTTAACAATGACCCGATCAGCAACTATATCAACATATTGGCACATCTGACTATCACATTGGGGAAATTAATTTGCATTAACATTGATGAGATCACTGCTGAGGTACTACTGCATCAAAATAAACAGATTCCTACTTCATCTCCATACTCAGCAGAAGGCATTAGCATCTAGTACAGGGATGGGGAAACTTTTTTGGATCAGGGGCCACTGACCCACAGAAAAATCAGTCGGGGACTGCACAAAAGTGAGAAGAAATTTAAAAAAAAGAAGACTGAGGAACTGAAAGCCACTCCCCACATTCCCCATGAACACCAGACGCTAGGGAGCCTAAACTAGTAGATTCTATGTCCCCCTCCCCCATGCTCTGGGATGGGACAAAAATGAAGAATTCAGTGTGTGGGAGGGGACTGCCAGGAAGCAAGCTTGGGGTGTGGGATCTGGGCAGGAGGGAGGGTGCAGGAGTGGGTTGGGGGTTGGTGGGCCTGGGAGGCTGATAGGGTGCAGGAGCAGGCTGGCGATAGGAAGGGTGGGTGGGAGGAATGGGGGTCCAGGGTCTGGACGGGAGGAGAGCAGGGCTGGAGTGCCAGCCCGGCTCCCCAATGCTGGAGGCAGAGGCCCAACCTCAGGGGCCAGATCCAGGCAAGCTAGGGGCCACATCTGGCCTCTGGGCTGTAGGTTCCCCACCCCTGAGCTAATATGTCACAGCAAAGTGCAATCTCAAAGGGATTCCAGAAAAGTCAAATATCAAAACAGGGAACACCCAAAATACACAAAACCCATATTTAGGTTAGATACTACTGAGCCAGATCTTCAGCTAAGGCCGGGGGGGGGGGAAGAGAGAGCAGGGGGTGTGAGTGTGTATATAAAACTAGAATAAAGTTCACCTCCCAGTCCAAGCATGGCTTTGTGCAGGGCTTGAAACTGCAGCTAGGGATTGGCATGACAGAGGCACCCAGTCACAAGCCTGTCCCCTGTAAATGCACTCCTTAGTGACAACAGGGAAAGGTGGCAGCACAGACCCCATCACACAGTTTTTACACTGATTGGGGATACCCCTACTCCAAAGCGATGTGCATGTGGGCCAGTTCTGGGGCCATATTTCAGCAGTGGTTTGGCTGTATTGTATTGAAAGACCTAGGTCCTTGCCTACACTCATCAGAAAAATTCTCATAGACTTGGTCTCCCTGCAGTGTAATGAAAAGCTCACATTTTCTCCAGTCACCAGCCTATACCACAGCCAAATCCTGGTCCCACTGAAATCAGGGCATGTTCTTCCATTGACTTTTCTGAGATCAGGTTTTGCCCCCACAGCATTTAAAATATTAGTATAATAGCTAGGAGCCTTCTTAGAGTGGCAGCACACTTAGTTCTACTGCTAAAACATACACATGGGGATGGATAGCATTTTCTTTAATATAACATTCAGAGACCAAAAATATTTTCAGACCTCTTTGTTTTCTCTCGTCAGTGCAGTTAATTCATGCAAGACTGCTACCATCTGCTGTCAGTAATAGTGAACTGATGCCGTTCTGCACTGAGAAACAACTGCCTGTGTGAATTAAATATCTTTGCTATTCAGCTGCTAGTCTGAATCAGTCTGATGTCTCTAAAAGACAGCGCTCACGGAAGTATTTCCTTGGAGGTATTAAAAAGATATTTAGCACTTTTACATACTATTAACTCCCTCCTCAACTTGCACAGCAAACAACCAATTAGTGACAGCACCCTTAAATATAATGAATAATGCAAAAATATATGTTCACTTCCCAAATTAAGAGAGGTAATTCATCTAGTTCTTGATGTTGCTTGCCCTCCAAACAGAGCACAATGACAATTCCACTAGTTGAATATTCACATTTTCTGCTCAGTATCTAGCAGTCCATATTCAGACTGATTCTGCACAAGTTGGGCAAAATATACATAGGCTGAGTTAGGAATGCAGGTCTGAGCCTACTGATTATGTAATATCTCATTAACTCATTATTCTACCTCTTTCCTCTTAACATACCTCCTTATTTTGTAACGAGTCCTGGAGCCTGAAACATTTTCCAGATACCTAGGAGCCAGATGTACTGTACATATTCAAGACCTGCGTGCATGTGCACCATCCAAGAGGAATGTCTCTCTCCCATTCCACTGGTACGATTTGTAGCTAGAATTTTTACAAGCCTACTACTATCCACAGTCTCTGAATTTCATATCAGGCTTTGGATCTTGAGTGCCTGCTAACTGGAATGTAATGGAACACTTTACCTCTTCTTCCTGTCCTGGCTGCTGGGAATGAAGAGGGTTTCTGCAACACTCTCTTCCACTGACTTTCTGACTGCTCTGACTTACTCTATTGCACCTCACAATCTATTTCTTCGGTCTTTTTCCCTGTCAGTAACTCCACAGCTTGTCTCTGACACTTTATGAAGCAGAAGCAGCGCTATGAGCTTGACACAATTCTTGAAAGTTTCACTGCTATGCCCAGGATTCTGAATAGTACCAGTGAAGCTGACCCGTTTTGTTAATTTCATACTGCTGGTGTTTGGCACGTCTATGAGCAGATGTTTTGTCAAAGCTATCAGCAATTTTCTCAATGTGGACCAAAGCAACACTCTCAGAGACAATATTCTTTACAATGAAAAGTAGGAAAGAATCCCATTAAGCAAACAGCTGTGTCTAATGTCAGAAATGTAAATGTATTTGCTATTATGCTATAGTGTACTCAGCCCTAAACAAGAGACAGCAAAAAACATGAATACTGTGCTGCTTGGAACTGTTCAAAACCTGAAGGTCAGGGATATGTACCACATACAATGTACTTCATGTTTCGATATGAAAGCCACAGCACAGGACATCACAACACATAATTATCCAAAGTCCACCAAATACGTACCACAAAAGCTTCCAGAAAGTAATACTGAGGCAAGGGATGAGACTGCTGAGGGATCAGGGAGACAAAGTGAAGTTGCATGTTGAAGCTGGAAAGTTTGGCTAAATCCTGAATTCCAAGTCTTGTAAATGATCGTGTCCCCATCCTTTTGTTAATCAACTGTTATCATGCTTAAAGTAAATTTAAGGTTAAATATCTGAATCTGCACCTCTGAGAAGGAAAAACAAGGAGGCACCTATGGCACCTTAGGGTATGTCTAGACAGCGGCACTATTTCAGGATTTGGGAGGTATCCCAAAATAGCTATTCTATGTCTTTTAAACCAGCCCATTATTTCAAAATAGATTTTGAAATAACAGGCTTGCTATTCCGATGTCCCTGTAATGCTTGTTCCACAAGGGTTAAGGGATGTTTTGGAATAGCAGTTTATTTCAAAATTTGGCACTGTGTAGACAGCACCAAATTTCAAAATAAACTATTTTGAAATTAGATTGAAATAAGATCTGCAATTTGTGTAACTCAAATTGCATATCTTATTTCAACCTATGGATGCAGTGTAGTTGCACCTTTAGGCTATGTTTATACTGCAATGCTATTTCGGGATATCAGAGTATCCCAAAATAGCTATCCTGCATCTTTACAGCATGCCCGTTATTTCAGGCTCATTATTCCGACGTCTCTGTAAATCTCATTCTACGAGGAGTAGGAGACGTTTTGGAATAGCGCTTTATTTTGAAATTTGATGCTGTTGAGACAGCAATAAATGATGAAATAAGCTATTTCGAAATTGAAATAATGTGACAGGGCGCCTGCCCTGCACTGGCCCTTTAAGCCCCTGACTCAGTCCCTGAGCAAGGGATGGGAACAGAGAGGCCAGCTGAAGCCGTTAGGACGAGTGAGAGCCCAGCTGACAACTATAAATAGAGAAGCACAATTTGCTTAGTGGGGGAAGTCAGTGGAGGGCTGACTGTGGAGAAAGTAGGAGCTCCTAGGAGGGAGACAAGCTGAGGATAGCCAGCAAGGGCTGGGAAAGGGCCAGCCAAGACTCCTCTTGGCTAGGGGCTGGAGACAAAACCCTGGTTTGGAGGTGGTTCATGATGCCACCGAGGTAAGCAGGGCAGTTGAGACAACCCCATTGCTAATGATGAGCAACCCATATGGACTGTAACTTGCCCTGAGAGGGGCTAGATGAGGACAGTCAGGGGGCACTGAGGCATGGTGGGGGCTTGCACCCTGACAAATAAGATATGCAATTTGCATAGCTCAAATTGTGTAACTTATTTTGAGTTATGGTGCAATGTAGATGCACCCTTAGAGACTAACAGATTTAATCTGGAGGTGTCACAAGACTCCTCATTATTTCTGCAGATATAGACTAACATAGCTTCCCCTCTGTGAGGGAAATGATGATAGTTGCCAATACATAGGTAAGTATCATCACAAGAATGAGTGGTATAGGGAATTGATAATAGGAAATAAAGCCTTTTTATTGCCAGGTCATCAAGTCAAATCTGCTCAGGTTGGTAGAAGCTGAATGTCAACATTGTACGATGGCCTATATGAAATTAACTGTGAGGTTTCATATAATCAAAACTGGCATTCATTAGTGCTTTTGTTGATAGTTGAGGAGTTGTCAAGGCTCCTTCCCCACTCTGGCAAGATAAATGCAGAAGTGGGGGCCTGCAAAAGTACCCCAAAACGTTATTTTCCACGCTTTGGTAAAAAACTTCCCCCCAAAATCTTAACCTAAATTTTGGGGATAAAAACTCCACTGCCACCACCCAAGTAAAGATAAGAAAATCAGGGGAGAGATCACTTGGGAAATCTCACCCCTAAAGTACAAACTAGGACACACAAATTAACCAATACCAGGTTAAGAAAAGAAAAAAGAAAGAACTTTTATTATCACCACAA